AGGAAAAGAAAATATTAGAAGTTTGGAATTTTTTTATCGGTATAAAATATTATTTTTCTTCATGTTTTTGTTTGCTTGTTTGTAATTAAACACAAAACTACACAATGGACTATCTGTGGTGTCCCCACCAAGAGTATTGAAACCCGATTTCTTGTATTATACGCTGTACCACTGGGGGACTTTTTTTTTGTCGTTGTTGTTGTATTTACTATTTTCTGCCCCCCCTCCCAATGACACAGCGGTATGTCTGCGGACTTACAACGCTAGAATCCGGGTTTCGATACCCGTGGTGGGCAGAGCACAGATAGCCTATTGTGTAGCTTTGTGCTTAATTACAAACAAACAATACTATTTTCTAAAATAAGTTGATGTATTGAATCCAAATTTACATAATAGTAAATATATATTATCTAACAATACGTAAGTTAAATGGTTCTCAAAACTATCCTGACAATACCAAGTGTTTTGTACAACACCTCCCAGTCTCTAACTCTACTGCACGTGACAGTTTCTGAAGTATTTTCAATGTAATGTAAATCTTTTTCTTTCCCTATCTAAGAAAACTGGGAAGAATTAATATTATTTCTTGTTCAACTTTTCTTCGTGTCACGTAATGAACAAGTGAGGTGTGATTAAGGGTGGGATCTAGTGATTTATTAACTTACTTTACGTCATTTCCTATGACAAGGAAATGACAGCAGTGTCGCAACATCATCTGGCCGGGACACGGAGAATGTGTCAGAGGAAAGGCAGGGCGGACGTGACACGCTACAGTGTCAAAAATAGACACCAAATATTTTGGCATAAAACTTCAACAAATTTAGAGACCTTAATGATGCAATGTCTAGTTCTTCCACTTCCTTTGTTTGTGTTTGTTTATATAATAATTCAATCTTAGAATCAGACCTCTGGTGTTGTTTAACGCTGTATTGGATAAACGTCTGTTTATATAATAATTCAATCTTAGAATCAGACCTCTGGTGTTGTTTAACGCTGTATTGGATAAATGTCTGTATATAATAATTCAATCTTAGAATCAGACCCCTGGTGTCGTTTAACGCTGTATTGGATAAACGTCTGTATATATAATAATTCAATCTTAGAATCAGACCCCTGGTGTCGTTTAACGCTGTATTGGATAAACGTCTATATATATAATAATTCAATCTTAGAATCAGACCCCTGGTGTCGTTTAACGCTGTATTGGATAAACGTCTATATATATAATAATTCAATCTTAG